AGCAGCAGCCGCGGAGCTCGAGTGCCCTGAGCCGGGCAATAAGGCACTGCCGCTGCTGCACAACATCCGCATCAAGACCGAGGACAGCAGTGCCAGCGAAGAGTACGAACCTGACCTTATAGAGCATAAGCTAAAGTGTGAGTGCAATGATCCCAAGGATGAGTTTTACGGGGTGACTGAGAGTAATAACCAGGACGCTTTATTGCCAGCCAAGGACGAGCCTGCATGCACTGAGAAGGAAACCACTTCCTTAAGCCCGCTGCTGACTCAGAGTCAGGCCCTCTCATGCACTTTAGGGACTCCGAAGCCTGAGGACGGGGAGTATAAATTTGGAGCCAGGGTGAGAAAGAATTACAGGACTTTGGTTTTGGGAAAGCGACCTGTGCTGCAGACTCCTCCAGTCAAACCAAATCTGAAATCCGCTAGAAGCCCACGTCCTACAGGTAAAACTGAGACACATGAAGGAACACTGGATGATTTTACAGTTACCAATAGACGCAAAAGGGTAGCCAGCAATGTAGCATCAGCAGTGAAAAGGCCGTTTAATTTCATGGCAAATTTTCCCTGTCCACCGTCACTAATTATTGGCACTGATGGGGATTTGTTGCCAGCTTATTCCTTAAACACCACTAAGGATTCCCAACCACCTCACAAGGCCCATCCTGTATGGAAATGGCAGTTGGGCGGTTCTGCAATACCTCTTCCACCCAGCCACAAATTCAGGAAATTTAATTAATAAAATGGTTTGAAAAATATTTTCTTGAACCACCTTTACCTTTCTTATGTTTTAAACTCTGCAGGATGGTTTGTACAAGCCCATTAATGCTATACACACGTTTGGAGTCCTGTTTTATCACATTGTGACGACAGAAATCGGATTACTATTTTTGTTGCCATTACGACAGGCTTTTTTTTTCTTTCGGGTTTTTTGGAGGGGGGGCGGTTACATTCCACAGAGTACTTCAGGCTAAAGACTCAAGTTAAACTCAGTTATTATGGTAGAGCTGGAACACTTTACTGTTTAAATGCTGATAATGCACCAGTACCTCAATTCAACTGCTTCAAATAAATGTCAAAAGGTTGAATAATAAATATTAGAATGAGCCATTAAATTTATGCACTAGATTTCGAAAATGGAAGTCTAACTGTTAATTCAGTTAAAGTTTAAGTTACATGGTTGCACAGTAAGGGTTCACTATAATTCAATGTGGCAGGAGTCTGTACTTTTCGGGAGCTTTGTTTTTGGGTGTAGGGTGTCTTTTGATAAGAGCAGTTGCACTTACTAAATTTTCTCTGGTTTGGAGAGGTTCGGGTTCGAATACCACTCGAGCACTGGAAAAAGCTGCCTCATCTAAAACTAGCCAATAAATATGGAATTATATTTTTGGTAAAGGGTGTCTTTTTACTTGAACAGCCACTCTTTGCAATTGGAAAGCCTTTTTGTTTCACCCAAAGGTCTTAAATAAGGTTACTGTTACTCACTAATGTCATATTTAAGTTGTAGTCTGAACATGCCCTTACAAACTTGCAAAGCAACTCAAAGATTTGCCTGCATAGCAGTACAATTTATGGTCCAGCCCTTCACACTCGACGGAGGAAATAGCAAAGCAGTAAATACAGCACAGAAAGTGAAACGAGAGGCCGTGAGCGGGAAGAATACACAAAACGAGAATGCCACGGTATTCATAGCTTTTTGGCACCAAAACTCAGGCATTTGAACCATAGTCCACTTATCTGCATCGTTGGAAACTTGAGTTTTCCTCATATCATCCTATCTATGTAGCAGGAGCATTTCTACTGCACGTGACAATCAGAGGCAATGATCTATATTTGCACTTAATATCGAAATAGTTGAAGAGGCAGACTTCTAGAGTCTTGGCCTCAGTAAGACATGTTGGTATAATATGTTGTGATGATGGAAGCAGTAAATCAAAATTATGGACATTTGCACTGTTGAAAAGCATGCTTTAGCTTTATTTTTCAATTAAAAACACTGTTTAAAAATTCTGATTCCACACACTTTGACTTATTGTAGAGTTATCCCTGTTTTTCTCTTCACTTGTAAGTTCAGTGTTTCTCTTTGGAGGAAACGCTTTCTGAAGTGAACTATCCCCCCCTCCCCTTCCCATCCCCCCAAACTGTTCTGAACCAAGGTGAGGCAGAACTGAATGCAGTAGAGGGGGAACAAAAAGAAAAAAAAGGAAATGGTACAAAGTTATAATAAAACAATCTGGAAAGTTTAGGGCTGGAAAAGCCCTTATTACTGGGTTGCTGAATCAGCAGAGCTGAGAATTCAAAACTGCTGGTGTATTCTCCTTGATGAAGGCTTTCTTTATACCAGATCATTCCAAAATTAAATTCTATTGATGAACCCCGAGAGAATTATTTATCTTAAATAAAAAATAAAGAAAACCAAACGGCAATTAAATGTTTACGGTGTGACCATTTTCTCATGGAAATCTGAGGCCTGGTTTTCAATATTTTAATTCCTGCCCTTTGTGATGCCCTCTCCCAGCCCCTGGTGTCTCTCCATATTCTAAGCAGGCACTAGCTGATTTCGGCTGTTTACAAATCTACACACCGTGGTTTTCCTTTCATTGTAAAAGACCTTTTCTAAGAATACCTGCAGCCAAATATATTTAGAAAGAGTAAACAATTGCCTTTCAGTGGAGTTACCCTCCCCCCCCACTCTAAACTGCCAATTGCAAAAGGTGCATTGCATACTTAACCGCTCTACTGACATGGTGATGGTCGTGACAGATCTGCTGGCTGGGGAAGTTGTTCTGAAATGAATGTTTACATACGTATGTTGGGAGCTGCACAGATTACAGCCTTGCTTCCAGAAAACTGTAAATAGGTAAGAACCGGACTGCTCAGGGACCCCCTCCCCCGGCTCTTTTAGAAACCAGTGTTTGCTCTAAAAAGGTCTTCCCTTGGCAAAAAAAGCTACAAAGGTGCAATATGCAAGCTCGAAACCTGAAATTTCTCCTTGTGTAATACGTAATATATGAATTTCAAAGTCACTTCCTCCCCTGACCCTGAGTATTCACAATTAGAGCTGTGTTGATTTGACCCCAAATTGTAAATGACAGAGGGGGCTTGTGTAAGCTCTCTAAATAATATTTGGGGAAGAAATAAGCACAAATTCATACCAAATAGACTCCGTGGAGTTTAAGAGGTAAAATATGGCGCCCAGCTCTGACATAAGCTCTGCAGCCCTGAGCGAATCAATAGTTTCAGTTTATAGGAGCTGGGGAATGAACAGCACCGAGCCAAATACATTCCATAGTGTATCATTCCTGCAGACTTTTCTGCTGAGGTTTTCTGACGAAAGGCACCATCAAAAGGCACAAAGTTCAATAGCCAAATAATTTTCACACGTGTACACCTCAGTTTAGTGTAAGCCACTAAGGAGATCATTCGAGTTTTTACTACTGTCAGAGAAATTAGCCAGGTTCAATAACTTGCTGAAAAGGGTGTTCTCTCCAGTTCTGGCAGTTTGGAAACCGTTTCTCATTGTATGGTAGCAATGATTGCGAAAACAGCTTATTATCATTTCAGGCTTAATAATAAAAAAATCATCAAACTCAGCTGCTAATAAATAGCCATTTCCCCCTAATAACGGCAAGTCCTGATACTGAGGAAGACAAAGGTTACTAGACAGAGAGGGAGGGATTGTAATTTTGCTGTAATGTTTTCAGAAATAGAACTAAAGTGTATGAAAAGCTTAATCATTTTCCATTTATTTGGTGTAGACAACAATTAAATTAATTTAAACAACCCAAAAAACAAAGCAGCAATAACCAATAACCCTATGACTCGTTTGGAACACAGTCCAGAGATTTTTGCCATGAGTAGTGTTCATTGATACATTTATTGGGAAGATTTCTGCTACCCTACTGAAGACAAAAGGAAGTTTTGGACAATGTCTAATTCTCTAGAGCACTGAGAAAAGCCAGCACGTGTAATGCCTTCAGCAACCAGGTGTATTGCCTTAAAAGATGTGACTTTCAGTTTACAACAATTTACTTTTAAAAGTGATTGTTCTTTAGTATATACTTACTTGACTACAGTGGGATAATCTTTTCACTGGTTGTTTATTTAAAACACCACTATGTAGCAATAATGCAAAATAGTGGTGAATGCTGTATGAAATTTGCTGTTCAATCATTCACTTGGTGATTTTTAAATGGTCTCTGATCCTTTTCCCTATAACAGATCTAGTTGCCAATAAATTAAAGTTTCTGCAGAAATAAGAACAAGGCTATCTTGTTTTTGTCTGTTACTCTTCAGTGGTGTGAGTGGTGAAAATAGAGAGAACGAGATAAAAAGTGGCATTTTTCCTTTGTACGTGGGACTGCATCAGTGCTTGACCTGTAGGAAATATTTTAATATATGCAATCTCCTAGAAAATATCAAACATAGGAGAAATTGTTAGCTGGGGTTTATGCAGCAAAATGAATATTACTGAAAGTAACATTTAGTGCTTCAGCTTTAAAATCTATTTGGAAGCAACTTCAAGGTAAAAAAGGTAGTTAGGTCAAAATGAGAGAATCCATTCTGAAGCAAGAACAAAGCCGCTGGAATCCACCTTGCTAAATCATACTTACTGCCATTATCCATTCACAAGGTTTCCCCCTGGCATTTACCCCTACAATCATGCTTAAGGCAAGTACAACTGAACAGTCCTATGCTTGAATGTGGGCTTCCTTACTCCCTGGTAGCCAAAGAGTTGTCTGCTAAAAGGAGGGCCCTCTCCATCCATTTGGGGAAAGGACACATGGATATGCAGTTAACTGATTTTAAGGCCTTGGGTGTTGCATTTTTTTTTACTCTTCTGATATAATTATTTGCCATGCCCTAGGCCCCTCTCTCTCCCTCTCTCCTTTTCAATCTGAGGCGGCCTCACAAGCCCCAGCTTTAAAAGGCCCTGGATGTTTTGCATGAAGCTCTCACAATAGGGGTTGAGAGAACTGACAGTTTCAAAAACAAGGCGTCCTGTCCTTTCCAGATGCCGAGAACCCCCTTCCTGCACCATCTCTCGTTTGCTCTTCGCGGCTGGTGGCTTTATCCTTAGCATTGCAAATATCCTGCAACAGCTGTGTTTGTAAACGGGGGAGTTCGGAGGGAACCAGCAACTCCTGGGTTTAGACTTCCTAACTGAAAGCGATGAGCCTGACTGACCAGTGCCTCTGTTTCCTGACAAGAAAGAAGAAGGAAGTTAGCCTTAGAGGCAGTGCAGTTGTGTGCTGCCGCCTTGCACATCACCAGCTGCCTGGGGTAGGGACATGGGAGCCCAAGTTCTCCCCTGAGCAGGAGCAGAGAGGGGCCGGGGCTTCCCCTTAACCCCGAGCAGACACTTGGGGAAAGCACTTAAAATGCCGCCATCTTGCTTGACTGACAACTAATTCTTGGTGATGTTTCGCTCCGAGCTCCCCTGCTCTCCCCTGACTGCGTTACCAACTCATTAGTTGGGGCGGAACAGCAGCCCCGCGCTCCGAGGAGCCCTCGCAGAGGCTGACATCAAAGTGGCCTTGCGGAGGGACTGGGGGCTGAGGGGCCGCGGAAACCGAGCCCGGCTCGCGGATTTCCCCCATTTTGGTCGTTCGCTGCTTGAGCATCCATTTTCACTTTTCTCTCCCTCCCCGTGATCTCCTGCTTCTCCCAGCAGCTCCGCTGTTCAGCTCACAAACGCCACCCGCCCCCCTTTGATGTGGACGCCGCATTAGGGAAATGTCTCCAAAATGCACCCG